ACACACACAAAACAGATAATTACATCAAAAAATGGGCAGAAGACATGAACAGACAGTTCTCCAAAGAAGACATACAAATGGCTAACAGACACATGAAAAAATGTTCATCATCATTAGCCATCAGGGAGATTCAAATCAAAACCATATTGAGATACCACCTTACCCTAGTTAGAATGGCCAAAATCAACAAGACAGTAAACAACAAGTGTTGGAGAGGATGTGGAGAAAGGGGAACCCTCTTACACTGTTGGTGGGAATGCAGGTTGGTGTAGCCACTTTGGAAAACAGTGTGGAGATTCCTTAAGAAATTAAAAATAGAGCTTCCTATGACACTGAAATTGCACTACTGGATATTTACCCCAAAGATACAGATGTAGTGAAAAGAAGGGCTATGTACCCCAATGTTCATAGCAGCAATGACCAGAGTTGCTGAACTGTGGAAAGAGCTGAGATGCTCTTCAACAGACAAATAGATAAAGAAGATATGGTCCATATATACAATGGAGTATTATGCCTCCATCAGAAAGGATGAATACCCAACTTTTGTATCAACATGGACAGGACTGGAGGAGATTATGCTGAGTGAAATAAGTCAAGCAGAGAGAGTCAATTAGCACATGGTTTCACTTACTTGTGGAGCATAAGGAATAACACGGAGGACATTGGGAAAAGGAGAGAAGTGAGTTGGGGGAAATCAGAGGAGGAGACAAACCATGAGAGATTGTGAACACTGAGAAACAAACTGAGGGTTTTGGAGGGGAAGGGGGTTGGAGGGTTGCGTGAGCCTGGTGGTGGGTATTAAGGAGGGCACATATTGCATGGAGCACTGGGTGTGCTGCATAAACAATTAATCTTGGAACACTGAAAAAGAATAAAAAAACACTGAACTATAAATTTACAATAAGTATCTTTCATTATATGTAAATTATACATTTATAAAGTTGATTGGAAAAAAAAAAAAAGAATGCCACATAAACACGGAGGTTAGTTTATGTGGTTCCCAAAGATTTATGTGCAAAATATTTTCTAAATCAAATTCTATTTTTAAAGTTTTCAAATAGTGCACATTTTGTAAGCTAATAAATAAATAAATAAGTTTGCTTTTGGCTCAGGTAATGATCCCAGAGTCCTGGGATCTATTCCTCATTGGGCTCCCCACTAAGCAGGAAGCCTGCTTCTCCCTCTCCCCCTACCCCTGCTTATATTCTCTCTCTCACTGTCTCTCCCTCTCTGTCACATAAATAAATGAAATCTTAAAAAAAAAAAAAGTGCCGGTTCTTCCTAATTTTATCTATAGATTTGATGGAATACCAATCAAAATCCAAGCAAGTTATTTCATGAGTAATGAGAAACTGATTCTAAAATTTATATGCAGAGACAAAGACCCAGAACTGCCAACACAATATTTAAGAAGAACAACAAAGTTGGAAGACTGACACCATCTGACCTCAAGACTTATTACATAGCTATAGTAATCAAAACAGTGTGGTATTGATGAAAGAACAGATAAACACATAAATGGAATAGAATAAAGAGCCCAGAAATTGACCCTCATATATACAGGCAACTGATCTTTGACAAAGGAGCAAGCATAACACAATGGGAAAAAAATCTTTTCAACAAATGATGTTAATATGAATTAATATCATATGCAGAAAAAAAAGATGACACAAACATTATACCCTTAAAAAGAAAGTAACTCAAAATGGATCAGAGACCTAAATATAAAACATAAATCTCTGAAATTCCTTCAAGGTAACATAGGAGAAAATCTAGATGACCTTGGGTATGGCAATGATGTTTTAAATATAACACCAAAGACATGAACTGTGAAAGAAATTGTTAATCTGGGCTCCAAAAATTTTTTTTTTAAAATTCTACACTGTGAATGATATTGTCAAGAGAAAAAGAGATAAGTCATATCCTGGCAGAAAACATTTAAAAACGACAAATCTGATAAAGGACTATTATCTAAAATATACAACAACCCTGAAAATTCAAAAATAAGAAAAGAAATAACCCATTTAAAAACTGGACAAGAGACCTAACAGACACCTCACCAAAGAGGACATACAAATGAGGTTCAATGTGGGTTCACCAGTTACAACAAATGTGCCATTCTGATGCAGGGTATCCATAGTGGGGGAGCTGTGTGTGTGTACTGCAGAGAAGGAATAGAGAGAGGGTTCATGGTAACTGTACTTTCTTCTCAGTTTTGCTGTGGACCTAAACTGCTCTAAAAAGGTCTATTTAGAAGGGGGAAAAAAAGTTACTGTGCATAAGCTGTGTTCTAGGCTTCCCCACATACAAGCATCTGGGCAGTGTGTTAGAAGGAGATTATTGTATACTGGGATCATATTCCTTCAGCAATTTGGCAGGCCATTCTCCACTTACCTGTGTGCCTTCTAAGCACATCCCCGGAACCATCCTGAAGAGAACTGTGAGTTGAAATGGATTCTTAGATAATCATTTCTGAGAAGTACGTGTCAACGCTGGACATACTATTTTCTTTCCATAAGCAAATTTGGCTGACAAGTATCTTCTCACTTTGTGTCAGATGTAGCTGTATTATAAAAGAAGGGACATAATGGCAATGGAATGAAATTACTGAAATTCATACTATAAAATAGGGCTTGTGCTGATTTCTCTTCTCTGATTCTCTTTAATGAATAACATTCAAATTATATAAATGTATCTATCATTCACTTTGTAATGATTGATTTTACTGTTATATTTTTATATTCGGCAAATAACACATAAATGGTTTCATTGTAAAACATTATCCTGGACAATAACCTCAAACTTCTGCACACCAGAGGCAAGTCCCAATTATAATGTATTCTTTTTAGAACATCTTTATTTTTTTCCAATATAAGAAAGTATATGTTTCTTTCATTAAATATTTTCATAAATTCTTAGCTTGTTCATTTCTGCATCAATTCAATTCCTTCTTTATAAGTATTGTATGTGATAAAACATTGTTCTTTTTAATAAGAATGCTTGAGGCTTTCCCATATGCATGAATTAGATGAATCATTTATTACCATATTATTATAATTTCTTTTGATAAGAATAATTTTCATTTTTATTTAGCTTCAGGAAAATTTTCCTGAACTCCTTCAATTAAAAATTCACAAATATTGAAAGTTGTGGGATTGCTTTTGCTGGTTGCTGAGGCTCTCATCTTAAAGTCGTTACACATACAATCTATGTGGTAAAACAAAAATACTGCTTCAGTGTTCTATGTTCAAACCGGTTTACTAATCCTTTCCACTTCTAAAAGACTTTTTTTAACTTGAAAACGCAGCCCTATTTTCTCTCATTATGTCAGTATACTGTCTGTAAGAGTGTTTGTTAAAATCTGTAGTTAGCAGTGATTATAATTGGCATTATCCTATGAATTGTACTGCTAACTACTCAGTTGTGTAGTTGAAGCCATTGGTGCCTTTCTCAAAAAGTGACATGATACATGGGGACCTGGGTGGCTCAGTAGGTTCAGCCTCTGACTTTGGCTTGGATTATGATCTCAAGGTACTGGAATCTCATGATCTCAGGGTCTTGGGTTAGAGTCCTGTGTTAGGCTATGAGCTAACAGTGGAGAGTCTCCTTGTCTTTCTCCTTCTGCCCTTCCCTGTACTTGGGCTTGCTCATACTCTCTCTCTCTCAAATAAATAAATATATACACACACACACACACACACACATACATATATATATATATATATATATGTATGTGTGTGTGTGTGTGTGTATATATATTTTAAAAAAGGTGACATGATCCAAATATACATATATTTTTTTAAAGTAAAAAGGTGGACACCTGGGTGGCTCAATCGTTAAGTGTCTGCCTTCAGCTCAGGTCATGATCCCAGGGTACTGGGACTGAGTCCCAGTCCCAGCTCAGGCTCCCTGCTCAGTGGGAAGCCTGCTTCTCCTTCTCCCACTCCCCCTCCTTATGTTCCCCCTCTAGCTGTGTCTCTCTCTGTCAAATAAATAAATGAAAATCTTTATAAAAAATAAAAAGTGAAAAGGTAGTAATAAAATGTTGACCTATATGTGGAGTAGCAAATATGTTTATATTATATATTTATATACATGTATAATATAATTATGAATATATATACATATATGTATTTATTATAATATAGGTCATCTACAGGAGAACTTTTTTTTATAACACGGTTAATAGTCCTTGACCCTCTGGAAAATGTGTTTCAGTTTTTAAATGTAAGGCTCTATTGACAAAGCTGTATGATTTATATGTACCTATGTTTGAAACAAATGGGGTATAACGCATAACATTTTTTTATATCTTTATTGAATCCAAGTACTAGTTCATAAAAAGGTACCTTTAATGTCTCTTTTGGCACTATGAAATCAAGAATGTGACTTTTACATGGGATTTTTGGAATCAATTTCATCACTTTGTTTTGCTTATGTACTTAGATCTAGTTCTTATTGTAACTGTATTTCCTGATAAAAATAGGGACTTTCTTAGTCTTGATAAATGTTAAAGTGACTCCTGCCTACAACATTTGTTCAAGTACACACAATTCTTGAATGTTTTCCATTATCAAACTTTGACAACTCTATGTACGAAACTATATGTAAATTGTTCTGTAAGGAGGAAAATTAACCTCTCCTCAAATCATCTCATCTGACACTTGTGAGGAGCACAATTTGTGAAATATTTAGTAATCCAGCAGAGGAACAAGCTTGGGCTGTGCAGCTGCCCTCTGAGGCACCCCAAGAAACACAAAGAAATGGACATCTTAACTGCCATGAGTAGGACGGTTTGGGACCTGAGGTTTTAAATAAAGGATTCCATGAGATAGTTTTAGTAACATTTTAAAGGTACGTTTGTCTCAGAAAACTGGCTTTCTCAGGAAAGTATTTCATTTAAAAATGCACTTCTTAAAACAGAAAGAAAAAAGATATATCTGTGCTGTTTCTCATTTAATATGTAATCCATATTGTTTTCTTTAAAATATGTATTACAGGAGTTATTAGAACTGCCTTACATAATATGGACAGAGAAGCCAGAGAACACTATTCAGTGGTCATTCAAGCCAAAGACATGGCTGGGCAAGTTGGAGGGCTTTCTGGATCAACAACGGTCAACATCACCCTGACTGATGTCAACGACAACCCCCCACGGTTTCCTCAGAGTATGTACCGGATTCTTATGATATACATTTATCACTCTTCATTTGCATAAAACAAAATGAAATACTTAAGTATATGATGTCATGTTACTGTTAAATGAGGATATTTTGTGTTTGTGCTATATGGTTTCTCTTCTAACCATGAGAGTAAAGAAATCACTCAGCTTATTGTCTCCTGAACCTGGTGGATAATTGCCACCATGTTAAAAAATATGTGTTTCAGTTGTCATTACAGTTAAATTTTAAAAATGATAGAGTGGTACTAAGTACCACTAACTATATCTTATATTTGCTAAAGCAGTTATGTATTACTAAGATATACAGGGAGATACCCAAAATACATTCTGAAGGTAACATTCTTCTCTTGGAAAAAAAAAAAAAAAGAATGCATATGTTTTTGGTGACTGAAATTGAAAAAAAAATATTCTCATGTTAAGAATGAATGCTCTCCACACCCCATACCCACCCCCCACATATACACGTGCATACACAAAGCATCCCACAGCAAGGTGCAGCTAATACAATAAAGTGGGAAACCCTTTGAATGGGGGGGGCAAAAATTTTCAAGCAATATAAGGGGAGAAGATGTCAGTTTTGTGAGTGTGAAAAAAAATGGTGTTTATGACATCCTCAGAATGGGAAAAAGTATATTTCAGGATTTCTAATGTGGCAGAAATTGTGGATGACATTTTATAAAATAGCCTTTAATTAAGATAAATATCTTGTAGGGGCTATCCCTTATGTCCTTTTGACACATGATGTTTAAAAACTGCAATAAAGTAGACACCTGGTATGTCAATACAGGCTCTTTGCAAGTTTGTGTGATATGTCTTCCCCTGCTGTATCTCTTTTAATATTTCTCTTGGTACATTCCAGGGCTATCCATAGTGGAATATTACCTGTTCCCAAAACATAATAACCTTTCATATTCTTAATTCAACCAGAATTCTCCATACTCACATTTCTCTGTTTAAAAGTTTAAAAGTCCTGTTATAGTTTTCCCTGAAATTTTGCAGAATTAAAAGCTAATGAATTCTTGTTTTCTGTTACCTGGCACTTTCATGTTATGTTTATTTCCTTAGGTACATACGACTTCTACTACTGTAAGTCTAAGTAAGAATGATACTTAAATTGTCTATGTAACCTTAAGTGTTCAGATCAGTAGCCAGCTCTTGATAAATGATTGCTAGATGAACGAATGAATGAGTTAATGAGCTGAATTCAAATACTCTTTCAAACTACCATTGTTAAAAGACACACAAGTCAAGTTCATAGTTAGGTAGCATCAATTTAAAATATTGTTTCTAGAGATGGGGTGCCTAGGGGGCACAGTTGGTTCAACATTCAACTCTTGGTTTCAGCTCAGGTCCTGATCTCAGGGTCATGAGACTGAGCCCTACATTGGGCTCTGCTCTCAGTGTGAACTCTGCTTGAGATTCTCTCTCCTTTTGCCAATCCCCTCCCCTCTAAAAGAAATACTTCTTTTAAAAATATATATTTGTTCTAGAGATAGATTATATGACCTGATTCATTCATGTGGCCTTTGCTCTATGAAGAAAGTAGGTTTATAATAAATCATAAATAAGTTCACATTACATTAAACCACAAAATTTTGTAATTTTACACATTACAGGGCATTTTTGTATTTACTTTATCACTTAGTTCACAAAACGTGCATATATACATATACTACTCTACAAGTGCTTTTCTTTAATAGGATAAAGACACTAAAGTTCAAAGATTTTTTAAAATTTAATGAATAATGCTAAGCTCAATTGACATAAACTTTATTGCAGTTTACAAAGGGAACTTGTCTACCTTATTTTCAAGTAGATACTATCATGGCTATTTTAAAGATATAGATTCATATCACAGCTCTGACTAGAATGAAGTTTAAGGGATACACTACAAACATGCAATAAATGCTTGGTCTTGATGCAGATTGCATCTCTCACTCTCTCTGTCCCTCCTCCTCTCTATAAACTACTTTTTAAACTTATGAGTCCATTGAAGTTGATTTTAAAAACCAACCAAAAAAAACTGTGCTTGTGCTAAATATGGAGAAATGATTCCTAATTTTATTTTTTGATCAATAACAGCGTTATTGTTGAAACATCAGTTTATGGTGAAAACTATTGTTTTACCTGACGAAGGAACGGAATAAATGTACATTCTCTGAGTGAACTCCACATATCTAAGGAGGCTCCCTTTCTTCAGTCAGGAGCGGTCTACGCAGAATGATGGGCAGATGCCAACCCTGCCACTCTGTGACATGTGCTTAGAGTTTTGAAACGGAGTCATTACACACTCGGAACCTCACAGTTTGACTTGCTTAAAAGATACTTTATACTCAAATTGCGTTAAGCACAATGAAGTTTTCAGAATAATTAGTGTCACCTTGACAAGAGTGACTTGCAGTAAATTATTTTTTAATTTACCTCTAAGCATCATAACTTATCAAATGGCTACATATATAATGGGAAACTGTAACTGCTTGGAGAAAAAAAAAGATATATTATGAGGACTTATGTTCAGGAAGCATCATGAAATGCACGAATCTACACAATTCAACTGATTTAAAGATTATATCCTGTCATCAAATGGATCCAGTAGTTTGTTTCTTTTAAGATGGGATATTTTCACACGCCTCCTTCTGACTCCTTTCTCATTTCACCTAAATCAAAGACTCATTGTTTTTACACCACTACTGTGATCGACTCTAGTATAAACATCTGCACACAACACTTTGCAAAAATATTCCTTCAAAGCATTTTTCCCTTTTTAATTTTTTCTGTTAACCTTCCATGCTCTGAGGAAATGAATCGGTTTGTTATATCTTGTCCTTTAAGATTATCACTGTATTTTTTTAATTTGAAGTAAATTGACTCAAAGTGTTTGAAAACTAGGGAATGAACTAACCTGATAATTTCCTTTATGAAGACTTTACACTAGGTAGTTGCCAACGCAGTGGCTTAGGATGCAACGTTAATAAAGATCCAGGCTGACACAGGCTGCCTGTCACAGTCAGGAAGGCAGAGGGCAGAACAGAGACCAGTTGGTACATGCCCAACTGAGAGGACGGCCACTGCTCAATTACACATAATGCATTCATGTGTCCAGGTAAATGTTAAGAAGGGGAGACCCTTACAAGATGCAGAGTGAAAGGACAAATCAACCCTTCTATGGCTTGAGTATTTACTCAAAGGACACAAGCGATGCCCAGTTCTCCTTAACAGAAAATGCATGGGCTGTAAAATTCCTCAGTGTTAGTCCTTCGGTTGAAAGGAATGTATCCCACTTCTTAAGATTCTTGCAATGTCCTTTTCTGGTTTTACTATGTTATAGTTACATGGCACTTATTGCTTATTTTTAGGTAGGTAAAAAGTCACTGAATCCATTATTTTCTATAAATAATATGCACATAAAATCAATAACTTATATGAAAATTCATAAAGCAGAATTTCTGTACTCTTAAGGGAAAGGATCTGTATTTTTACAATTGCCTTTGACTAAGTAAGAATGAATAATCCAAATTGGGAAAGAAAAAAAAAAAACCTGCATGTCAAATAATCACCATAAAACGGTAAGAACTGGATTATTTAAAAAACTTTCCTCAAGAACTTGAAGTGATTGCAAAATTGTATGTCATTGAACAGCTTTAGTTCTCTTATGACTAGAGTTGATATAATGCTGTGGAATATTTGAAAAATCAAGGCCTAAAAGTTCAATAGATGGCAGTATTTTCTATAATACTGAGAGTTAGAGATGTTTACCTGATTTGAGTAAATGTTAATGTTGGTGAAAAGTAAAATATCACTGATGAATATATTGATAATGTTATGATTTTGTTCATAGCAAAATATTTTAGAGGAAAGACCATATTTTCAAATTACTATTTACCTTTTGATGAAAAGAAATCTAAATGGCATATACTATATTCAGCATTAATGTTTTATTTAAAAACAGGAAGTGAAAGAAACCAAATAAGAAAGCTTCTCCTTTGATCAATCAAAATGTGAAGTATATGTTTTAATTATCAGCAAGTTGACATTTCTCTAGTGTACTTCAAAAATTATATCTAGTTCATTTTTTCTTTTTCTTCAAGTGTTTATTTAAATTCCAGTTAGTTAACCTACACTGTAATATTATTTTCATGTGTAGAATTCAGTGATTCATCACTTACACACTCCATCCAGTGCTCATCACAAATGCCCTCCTTAATGACCATACCCATTTAGCTCAATCCCTGCCCACCTCACCTCCAGCAACCCTCAATTCTCTATAGTTAAAGTCTGTTTTATGGTTTGCCTTTCTCTCTCTCCCTCTCTCTTTTTTTTTTCCTATGCTCATCTGTGTTTTTTTTTCCCCTTATATTTCACATATGAGTGAGATCTTTATGGTATTTGTCTTTCTCTGACTTACTTCACTTAACATAGTACTCTCTACTTCCATCTGCATCATTGCAAATGGCAAGATTTCTTTCTCTCTCTTTTTTTTTTGGCTGACTAATATTTCCTGTGTGTGTGTGTGTGTGTGTGTGTGTGTGTGTGTACCACTTTATCCATATATCAGTTGATGGACATTTGGGCTCTTTCCATAATTGCCTATTGTTGATAATGCCTCTATAAACATTAGGGTGCATGTGTCTCTTTGAATCTTTATTTTTTATCCTTTGGATAAATATCTAGTAGGACAATTGCTGGATTATAGGTTAGCTCTATTTTTAAATTTTTAGGTACCTCCATACTGTTTTCTAGAGTGGTTGCACCAGTTTGCATTCCCACCAACAGTTTAAGAGGCTTCCCCTTTCTCTGCATCCTCACCAACATCTCTTTTTCCCTGTGTTGTTAATTCTAGCCATTGTGACAGGTAGGTGGTAATATCATTTTAGTCTGGTTACAGGTATATATTTTGAAACTTGCTGGGGGTTTTTCTAAATGTCAGTATGTATTTCATTGAGATAGTGTCCTTATGTACTTTAAGAGAAGATAAATTCTGCAGCT